AAATGCTGGAGAGGCTGTGGAGAAAGGGGAACCCTCCTACACCGCTGGTGGGATGCAGTTTGGTGCAGCCACTATGGAAAACAATGTGGAGATTCCTCAAAAGACTAGGAATAGACTTACCATGTGACCCTGGAATCCCACTCCTGGGCTTGTATCCAGAAGGAACCCTACTTCAGGACGACACCTGCACCCCAATGTTCATAGCACCACTATTTACAATAGCCAAGACATGGAAACAGCCTAAATGTCCATCAACAGGTGACTGGATAAAGAAGAGGTGGTATATTTATACAATGGAATACTACTGAGCCATAAAAACTGACAACATAATGCCATTTGCAGCAACCTGGATGCTCCTGGAGAATGTCATTCTAAGTGAAGTAAGCCAGAAGGAGAAAGAAAAATACCATATGCGATCACTCATATGTGGAATCTAAAAAACAAAAACAAAAACAAACAAACAAACAAAAACAAAGCGTAAATACAGGACAGAAATAGACTCAGAGAATACAGACTTGTGGTTGCTGGGGGGTGGAGGGTGGGAAGGGATAGACTGGGATTTCAAAATTGTAGAACAGATAAACAAGATTACACTGTATAGCACAGGGAAATATACACAAAATGGTATGATAACTCACAGGGAAAAAAATGTGACAATGAGTGTGTATATGTCCATGAATGACTGAAAAATTGTGCTGAATACTGGAATTTGACACAACATTGTAAAATGATTATAAATCAATAAAAAATGTTAAAAGAAAAAACGGGCAAAGGGCAAAGATACACATTAAAAAAAAAAAGACAAGAATAGCCAGAGGTATATGAAAAAGTGATCAACTTCAGTAATTATCAGGGAAATGCAAATCAAAATCAGAATGAAGTATCATCTCACGCCTATTATGGTGGCTGTTATCAATAAAATAAAAGACAACAAGCATTGGTGAAGATGTGAAGAAATTAAAACATTGTACACTGTTCATAGAAATACAAATTTTACAGCCATTATGGAAAACAGTATGGCAGTTTCTCAAAAAATTAAAAACAGAACATCATATAGTGCAGCAGTCCCATTCTAGGTATATACCCAAAGAAAACGCAGTCAGAACCTTGAAGAGATACCTATGTTCACTGCAGTATTAGTCACAGTAGCCAAAATATGAAAACAACCTAAGTTTCTGTCAGTAGATGACCAAATAAAGGAAATGTGGCATTATATTCAATGGAATATCATTCAGCCTTAAAAAAAGAAAAAAAGAGATTGGCCCTTTGCAGCCACATGGGTGAACCTGGAGGACATTATACTAAGTGAAATAAGCCAGGTACACACACACACACACAACAAAACTGCATAATCACAACTGGAATCTAAAAAAAGGCAAATAATAAAAGCAGAGAGGATAAGAGTGGTTACTAGGGGAGAAGAGGTGGCAAACATGGGAGGATATTGGTTAAACAGTACAGTTTTATTCATGCAGCATAAACAAGTCTCGAGAGCTAATGGACATCTTGATGATAATAGTAACACTGTACTGAATCCTGGAAATGTGCTAAAAGAATAGATTTCAGATGCTCTCATCACACACAAAAAATGGTAAGTATGTGAGGAGAGATGTTAACTAGATTGACTTTAATAATCATTTAATCACATACAGGTGTATGAAATCATTGTGGACACCTTCAATACGCTTTTACTGAAAAGAAATATACAAAATATTAATATCAGGAAACTTTCAATTGGGAATAAATGGATTCTTCAAGATGCTTTTAAGAACACTAGAAAAAAAATCTGAATAGTCAAAAAATAGGAAGAATCTGTTCAGGCTGATGTTGTGATCTGCTGCCCCCAGAGTTGGTGCTGAGAAACAAGCAAAGTGTCCGCCACTGAGTCATGGTGAATGAAATCAAACCACTGGGACGTACTGAAAAATACTGCGCAGGCATCAATGAACACAGACGCCTGAAGATATTGGAGATCTGTCTTTCTCATTCTTTAAGATTTAATTGACTTTTCCATATTTGTTATTTAGGTAACAGATGACATGGTAGCATAAAATGTCAGTCTAATACCGTTCATCCACCTGGGAATTACCACGTTGTTTTATCTGTTTTTATTTGTTACTATTTAGGTGCTGCTAATTTGTTTTATGTTTATTTACTCATCTATCTTACTTCCTTCATGATATATTAGCTCACTGAGGGCAAACAAATACAGTCTGTTCATCTTTATAGTTTTAAAAGAGTCTAGAAAATTTTGCAAATAGAATAGTCAGTCAGGAAATATACGTTGAATTAAGCAACTCCTCATAAAGAAAGAATATGGGCTGTTTCTGCTATAATATGTGTAGGTCTTCTGCGTGTGTGTGTGTGTGTGTGTGTGTGTGTGTGTGTGTGTGTGTGTGTTTGTATGTACAGATCTTTGAAACAATAAAAACAACAGAAAATCCCAAGTAAATTCACAATACTTTACCATTTAGATATAATAATTAATAAATATTTATTTTGTGACTCATATAAATAATAATTTGATTAGCATTTATTATGGTTTGGTTTTAAGTTTTAGAGTATTAAGTATTTACAAAACCAGTTTCCTCATTTTTCCCAGTTACTAGAAGTTGATTTGTTCTGAGACACCCTACAGTCTCAGAAAGGACTTCAACTTATGATTATAGTATCACTAAAAATAGTACAAGAAACTTTAATGTGATTTATTCTAAGTTAAATGTTTTCTGAATTTAAGTGATGAAGAAAATTATTTCCCTGTTCCAACTCTAGCATTACGTTATATTTTATGTGACATCTAACAGTTTATGTTAATTCAATAGTTTTGATTTGCATACATCAAATTGATTTATGAAATGCTTGAATGTCAGAAAAAAACATGTCAGCAAGTAACAAATTATCTTTCTAATTTACTAGTACTATGAAGTATATTTCGAATATAGATTTGTATATATTTTAGATATTCCAAGGAAAGAACTTCATTGCTAGTATGTCTAATTTTATAAAGCATGTTCTTAAAAATTATAGAAATCAAGTGAAAATTATATATATTTTTTCATATCAGGACACTGCAGTGTAAATCAAACAGGTGAAGATGTAATAAAACCATAACAACAAACACGAGTACCCAGCCCTGGAGAGGCGACACTCTGCCTACTTATGAAGAAGTGAACATACAGTGTCCTACTCAAAAGCAGTATCCTGGAGGTGTATAAAAGTTCATGAAAATATTTTGTTAAGTAATTTACCTAATGACACATAACATATCACATACATTATATATTTTATTTTCTAAGCCTCAAACTCAGTAATAAACCAATTTGGTATGTGCACAAGCAAAAAAATTTTCAGTTTCTGTCTCCTAAACACATTATGTGTATTAGTAATGCCTTTCGTAATTACCTTTAGATTTAATAAAGTGCCATTAGTTTCCTCATCCATGGTTATGAATGTCACTGGAAGAAAATCAGGTTCCATTGTGGCACTGAAATAAAAAGACACCAAAGGCTATTATTTAATTGTAAAGACTAACTGCACTGAAAGCAAAATCTTCTTGACATAAATTATTACATTTTCTCTGGGTAATCTGGAGGTATCATAGACTTACATTCTGCTATAACTTTTACCTTTTATTCTGCTTTAATATCCCATTAGGTAATTCTTAAACTGATTTTAAATTTGTAAAGGTTATTTCTGTTTAGTAGTATTTTATGTAAAATTTCTAAATTGGATTTTAACATCTGCAATTGACAAGAAATTACACTCACATAGTACGAAAAGTGGTTGACTGTTTTGGTTTATTTATATATTTTAAAATTACGTGTGTAACCCAAATGATATGTTAAACTATTTTTAAAAATAAAGTTTTTAGCAGTTATGTTTAAAGAAAGAGTATATCATTAATGAATCCTTTATTAAGGCTTAGATGATAATACTAGTCAATCTTTCTTTTCTCGGCAGTTAGTAGTAAAATCTGATTCTTTTGGTCCAGAATGAGGATTTTATATAAAGAAGTGTTCCCTGAATAGAAATAACTGAACTCCTATAAAAACAGCCCTAGAGTACAGAACACTTGGAGATCAAGAAAGGGAAACAGTCCTTGTTTATCCTTGACCAAGCTGATATGCTCAGTTTTCTAAAAAAAAGCACAATGGACCTTCCTGTCAAATACACAAACTTCCTACACGGACCACATTTATGTGGCTCTTCATATGATGGCAAGTTGGGCATGTTGTATTTCCTTCCCTGAAGGATACAGCCAATCAGAGGAAGGGGAAAATGCCTTCAGCCCTTCTTGCCAGAACCCATCTTGTTCCTTGTTGTCTATTCAATAATTAAAGCAACCTCCAAGAAAGTGAAACTTCTGTCTTCAACTGAACCTCGGGGGAAAATGGCTTCTTGATGCATATCCTGTCCACCTTTCCTTGGTTAAACGTGATTCATGTAGTGTTTGTGATGCCATCATCTGGACAGAGCGGAGAGCAGAAAAAGGAAAGAGTGGGGGGGTGATATCAACTCTTCCTTTCTTTGGTGGGGGGGGGGGGTTAAGTATACACCCATGAAGCTATCTCCACAATCTATGCCATAAAATGCTCATTACCTCCCAAAGCTTCCTCCAACCC